GGCACGTCTCACCTCTCCCAGGGACGGAGGGACCTGCTGGACGGGGACAACGCCCTGTGCCCAGGTGTCCAGGGCGCAGGGCTGGGGCTCCTCGTCCTCGCTCCAGGCTCGGGGTCGCTCGGGGTCCGGGTCCCTCTCGGGGTCGGGGTCCCCCTCGTCCCGTGCCAGGAACCGCCACTCAACGACACACAGGATGGCGTCCCGCGCCCGGGACACCGTGTAGGGCACCCGCTGCACAGACAGCGCTGAGACCCCCTCCCGGACCAACTAGACACTCCCAGGACCCCCAAATGGGGGGAGGGGGGTCTCTCACCTGCCGCGCCACCGCCGCTCGCACGGACTCGGCTATCACCCGGTCCAGAAGCTCGACCAGGATGTCCCCGACATCCAGGGGGTCCCCAGGCGGGGATCCCCCCCCGCCCTCGGCCGAGGGCGTGTGGGTGTCAGAGGAGTGGGAGGCCCGGGGGGAGGCCGGGGCGGGGGGGTGCGACTTGTCCCGTCGCGGTTTGCGGGCCACCGATTTCCTTTTCTGCGCGGGGAAAGGAGACACCCACAGCTCCCCCCGCCTGACCGAGCGAGGACACCGCACCCCGGGTGGGACCGGCCCAGTGCACTCCAGTGGAGACCAGTACAGCACAGCCCACCCCAGCGCGGACCCCCAGCTCATCCAAGTACATCCCAATATAGACCAGTACACCCCAACCCACCCCAGCGCGGCCCCCCATCTCTTCTCAGCACACTGCAGTATAGACCAGTACACCACAGCCCACTCAACCCATCCCAGGATAGCCCACACACCCCAGCTCATCCCAGGACATCCCAGGATAGCCCACACACCCCAGCTCATCCCAGGACATCCCAGGATAGCCCACACACCCCAGCTCATCCCAGGACATCCCAGGATAGCCCACACACCCCAGCTCATCCCAGGACATCCCAGCCTATCCCAGTACACTCCAACTCCCCACACCCGCCACCCAGCTCCTCCCATCCCGCTCTATCCCCGTTCCCCGCCCCGGTAACCCCCCGATCCCACCTCGGCCATCCCGCCCCGTGGCGTCCCGGTCTCCACGGCAACGCTGACGTCATCGCCGCTCGCCGCTCTCCGGTTGCGTCATCACGCCGCGACGCGTCTCCATGGCGGCGGCGGGCCCCGGGTGAGCGGGGGGGCTCGGAGGGACGGGGGGCCGGGGGTCGGGCACGAGGGGTTTCTGGGGTCCCTGGGAGGGAACGTTGATCTGCCCCTGGACCTGTCCCCGAACCCCCGGGAGTTGTTCGGGCCCCTTGGAGCTGCCCGGCCCTCTGGATCTCTCCATGCCCTCTCTGGACCTATCCATGCCCTCTCTGGATCTGTCCATGCCCTCTCTGGGTCTATCCATGCCCTCTCTGGGTCTATCCATGACCCCTCTGGACCTGTCCATGCCCTCTCTGGGTCTATCCATGACCCCTCTGGGTCTATCCATGCCCTCTCTTGGTCTATCCATGCCCTCTCTGGACCTATCCATGCCCTCTATGGATCTCTCCATGCCCTCTCTGGGTCTGTCCATGCCCTCTATGGATCTGTCCATGCCCTCTCTGGGTCTATCCGTGCCCTCTCTGGGTCTATCCATGCCCTCTATGGATCTCTCCATGCCCTCTCTGGGTCTCTCCGTGCCCTCTCTGGACCTATCCATGCCCTCTCTGAGTCTCTCCATGCCCTCTCTGGATCCGCCCCACTCCCCCTGTACCCGTCCCCGGCCCGTGTGACGCCGGCCGTGTGTGCCCGCAGGTACCGGCGGGAGCGGGCGCTGGCCCTGCGGAGCAGCAGCTCGGCCCTGTACAACAACCTGGCCGTGCTGTGCCCCCCCGCGCGGCCCCCCCGGGCCTTCGGCACCGTGCACGGCACCACCCTCAGCCTGCTGGGACCAGAGGGGCCCCCGCGGCAGCTGCCGGTGCGGGGGGGCGGCTCGGCCCTCAGCACCCCTCTGCTCACACAGGTGAGGGGCACGGGTGGGGTCCTGCCCGGCCCTGGCAGCACTGGGGGAGCCCCGGCACCCTCCTGGCACTGCAGGTGACCTCGGAGCTAGGGAGGAGGGCGAGGGGACCCCGGGATCCCACAGGGCCCTCGTTGCGGGGAGGGGGAGAGGGAAGGAGCCCCTTGGGGGGTTTGTGGGACACTGACGGGGACGCGCTTGTGGGACCCCCAAATACAGCTGGCCCTGGGGGGCTGTGACCGGGCCCTCCCCCAGGAGTGGGGTCTGGGGGGGACCCAGGAGAGCAGAGGGGGGTCCTGCCCCTGCTGGAAGGTTTTGGAGGGTCCCAGCAGGAGGGTGTGGGGGTCCTGCCCCTGCCTCCCTCCTGCCCTGCTCTGTCCCCCCAGGCCGCCTGGTGTGAGCTGCCAGCCCGGGTGCTCCTGGTCCTCACGTCCCAGCGTGGCATCCAGGTGAGGGCTGGGGGGCTCAGGAGGGTCCCTGGAGGTCCCACTGCACCCCCAGGGCTGTCACCCCCCCTGTCCCACGCTGTCCCCCCTGTCCCAGATGTACGAGGCCGATGGTTCCACCCTGGTGTTCTGGCACGCGCTGGACGTCCCGGAGCACCCGGCAGGTGAGACCCCGAGCCCCCAGTGCTGCCAGGGACACCCCAGCCGTGGCCCCACCTGCCACATCCACAGGGCTGTTAAATCCCCCCTGCCCTGGGCAGCTGTGCCAGGGCTGGACAGCCCCTTCCAAGGGGGAATTTTCCCAATATCCAACCTGACCCTCCCCTGGCACAGCCTGAGGCCGTTCCCTCTCCTCCTGTCCCTGTTCCCTGGGAGCAGAGCCCGACCCCCCCCGGCTCCCCCCTCCTGTCAGGGATTGCAGAGCCAGAAGGTCCCCCCTGAGCCTCCTTTTCTCCAGGCTGAGCCCCCCCAGCTCCCTCAGCCGCTCCTGCTGCTCCAGCCCCTTCCCAGCTCCTGCCCTGGACACGCTCCAGCCCCTCAGTGTCTTGTGAGGTGCCCAAACCTGCCCCAGGGTTGGGGAGTGACCCCCAGTGCCTGGCACAGTGTTCAGTCCCTGCCCTGGGGTCCTCCAGGGGTGACACAAACCCTTCCCTTCCAGCACATTCCGTGTTTGCCCGAGGCATCTCCGTGGCCGGGGAGCACTTCATCTGCGTGGGTGAGCTGGGCTGGGTGTGGGCAGGGCAGGGAGCCCAGGAGGGCTGAGCCCTGCTGACCCCCTGACCCTGCAGGAACGTCCTCCGGGGCCGTGCTGGTGTTTGACATCCCCCCCAAAGGCACCAACGTGACCCTGAGTGAGGTTCTGGAGCAGCACCGGCATCCCATCACCGACATCGCGGCCGAGCAGGGCCAGGCCCCGGTAAGGGGGAGGGTGGGGAGCCCTAAATCCCATCAATCCCACCCCCTGCCATGGGCAGGCACACCTCCCACCAGCCCAGGCTGCTCCAATCTCTGCCCAACCTGGCCTTGGACACGTCCAGGGATGGGGCAACCACAGCTTCTCTGGAAACCTGTGCCAGGGCCTCCCCACTCTCACAGGGAAGGATTTCTTCCCCAAGTCCCACCCAAATCTCCCCTTTTCCAGTGGGAAGCCATTCCCCCTTGTCCTGTCCTTCCTATTCCTTGTCCCATGTCCCTCCCAGCTTTCCTGGATCTCCGTTAGGCACTGGAAGCTGCCAGGACTGGGTCCCTGCAGATGCTCATCAACCTCCTCCCTGCACATGAGACCGCTTAGCACTTTCCCTGATGAGTCACATGGAACTTTCCCTGCACTGGGATCCCCAAGGAATTCATCCCCAGAACCGGTTCCCAGAGCTGTTGTGTCACCGTGGGGACACGGAACTGCTGTGTCACCATCCCCTCATACATCCCCCTGGGCTTTGCTCCATGGGTTCTGGAGGTTCCTGGGGCTGGGAGGAGTCGAGACTCATCCCTGAGGGAGGGGTGCCCTGATTGTTCCTCGAAATCCGCCCTTGGTGTGGTTGTGTGGGCAAACAGGGACATGTTCCAGCGGAGCTGCCGCGGGCGCTCCCAGCCCCGCTCGGGCGCATCTGTCAGCACTTCAGGAGCTGTGTCAGCTCCTCCTGGGGCCTGTGGGGCAGCCCTGGAGCCAGGGGCAGTGCCAGGGCCCATCCTGAGCCATCTCTTTCCCAGGAGGGAGCTGGGGACCTGGTGACGGCCGATGACTCTGGGACCCTCTGCCTGTGGGGCACCGGGGAGGAGTTCACCCTGCTCGGAAAGATCCCGGGATCTGGGTGAGCCCTGGGGGGTCTCACGGGGTGTCAGACACATGGGAGGGTGACTGGGGGGACCCTGGGCAGGAGGTGACATGGGCTGCTGTCCCCAGCTGCACCTGCTCCTCGGTGACACTGTGGAACGGGATCGTGGCTGCAGGCTACGGGAACGGGCAGATCCGGCTGTGGGAGGCAGGGTCGGGACAGCTCCGTGCCCAGGTGAGCGCCCACGCCCGCTGGATCTACGCCCTGGACCTGGCACCGCTCACTGGAAAGGTACGGGGTTGTCAGGGCATCCCACCCGGCATCCCACACGGCATCCCACATGGCATCCCACCCGCATGCCAAGCTGGCATTACACTTGGCATCCCACTTGGCATCCCACCCTGGAATCCCACCAGGAATCCCACCCCAGTGTCCCTCCCTGGCTCTGCCACTGCCGTGGTGTCCCCACGGTCCCTCCGCTCCGCTCCCCTCACAGCTGCTGTCGGGCGCAGAGGATTCCTTTGTCCACGTCTGGGAGCTCAGCAGGGACCCGGACACGGATGATGTCGAGGTGAGTCTGGGCCTGGGACAGGACGTGGCCCTTGGAGCCCCATCTGCTCGGTGGGGACTGGGCCAGGGCGGTGTCCCGGGAGCCGTGGCTGCCCCGGTGCTGGCGTTGCTCCCGCAGATCCGGCACTGCCACGCCGAGTGCGTGACAGACACGCAGGTCTGCGGCGCCCGGTTCTGCGACCCCGCCGGGGACACCTTCGCTGTCACTGGCTACGACCTGAGCGAGATCCTCTGCTACGGCCTGGCCTGAGACCGAAACACTGGCAGCACCGGCTCAATCCTGCACTGCAGGCGAGGGGTGAGCACAGACCCCCCTCCAGCTCCGTGGGGATGTGATGGGGGAGCTGGGCCTGATCCCCCCGTGCCCAAAGCCCTCCTGAGGGCTGGAGCTGCTCCAGTGCCACCCCATCCAGGGGATCCCGAGATACTCCCGTGGTCCCCCCCTCCACGTCCTGGGATCCTCCCGTGGCCCCCGCCCTTCCCGGAGGGTGGCGTGGCTGGGAACGGGCGGGCCCAGACGGGCGGATCCCGGGAAACCTGTGCTACCTGCTGCCCTGCCCCGCCCGGGAGAGCCCCGAGCCTGGCCCAGCCCTGAGCCCTGCCCAGCCATCAGCCTGGCCCAGCCATCAGCCTGGCCCAGCCCCCGGGGGCAGCTCCCCAGCCCCAAGAACGTGGGGCCACACGGGGAGCGGGGTGGGAGGAAGTGGGGGATCAGTGGGGACGCAGGGAGTCTGGAAGACCCCACACCCCTGTGGGATCCTGTGCCCCCGTGGGACCTCACAACCCCTGGAACCTCACAGCCCTGTGGGACCCCAACCTCCTGTAGGACCCCACAGTCCCATAGGGCCCCAAGCTCCCGTGGGAACCCACACCCCCGTGGGACCCCGCAGCCCCACATCCGCTGGCCAGACACGCAGCTGGCCAGCTGTGCTCTGGTGCTGGAAACAGCAGCAGCTGCAGCAGGACCTCAGGGACATCCTCAGGTCCCCTCGGTTTCCCCCTGGCTGCCCCTGACCCCCCCGGCGGGCTGCCCTGCCCCGGCCCCCTCGTGGGAGCTGACGTGACCCCAGTCTCTGCTCCCAGGGCCCTGTGAGGCCGTGGGGGGGACACAGAGACAAGGGGGGGCTCAGCCTGGGACAGGCCCTGAGGGGGGAGCCCCCAGCCTGCCCCCCCAGCCACTCCTGCCATGCTGGGGGACGAGCCATGGACAGGGATCTGCCCCCTCAAGAAATGACCCCACCCCTGTGTCCCTTTTGTGTCTCCCCCAACCCATGAGCTGCACCCCCATGTGTGACTCCACCCCTGTGTCCCTTTTGTGTCTCCCCCAACCCATGAGCTGCACCCCCATGTGTGGGTCAGGCCCCCCTACTCCTGTTCCCAACCCTCATGTACTTTGTACCCCCCAATAAATACACCCAAATGAAGCCCCCTCAGTGTTGCTCCTTTCTGCGGGGGAGCTCTCACCCCAGAGGGCTTTGGGGGGTCACTCAGAGTCGGGTCCGTTACAAAAAGCTTTATTAAAGGTTAAAACAGCTGCTGCTGAGGCGGGGGGGCCCACTCCGGGCGGGGGGCCCCACTCCAGGCCGGTGGGGCCCTGGAGGGCCCGGGGACCGCTGTGCTCCTGGGGTAAAAAAGTGTAAAAATGGTTGTGCAGTTCAGCCCGGGGTGGGGGTTGGACGGTGCCACCCCCACTCTGGGGGGACACAGCCCAGGGACAAGGACAATCCCCCCCGGACCAGAGCCCGGGGCCGGGGCCCTGTCCAAGGCACAGAGATGAGCCGGGGGCTCTCGCAGCCACACAAGCACCCAGGGACCCCCCCTGCGCCCACCCCCCACCCCACCCTGCTCACAGCTTGGCCCCCCACCCCCTGGGGGGGAGAAAATACAGCACCAGAGAGCCCTGCGGGGGATAAGCCCTCAAGAAGGATGGGGGGACAGCAGAGCCCCCACTCCCTGCACACCCCCAGCCCCAAATACTGCTCGGTCAGAGGTAGCACCAGCGTTGGCCGGGGCGGGGGGCCCTGCCGAGGGGCTCCAGCCCAGCCCCCCTGGGGGAAGGCACAGTGGGCAGGGGGCTGTGCCCCGCCAGAGCCTGTAAACAGCCAGGGGTGGGGCAGGTAAACAGGCCCTCGGGGCGGGGGTCCAAGCCCCCAGCCCAGTGTGGGGACCCCCAGCCTGGCCAAGCCCCACAGCCCAGCACGAGGGTCCCAAGGCAGAGCCCCCCAGGCCAGGGTGGGGGGTCGTAGGGCCCAGCCCTTCAGTTCCGTGTGGAGTCCCTGGGGCTGAGCCCCCCATTCCAGTGTGGGGATCCTGAGCCTGAGCCCCACAGCCCAGCACAGGGACCCCCAGCCCTACACAGGGGTCCTGAGGCTGAGTCCCTCAGCTCAGCATGGAGATTCCCCAGTCCAGCACAGAGACCCCCAACCCAGCGTGGGAGCCTCAGCCCAGCACAGGGACCCCCAGTCCAGCACAGAGACCCCCAACCCAGCGTGGGAGCCCCAGCCCCAAGCCCCTCACTTACAACAGGGACCCCCAGCCCAGCTGAGCTTCCCTGCCCAGCGTGAGGGTCCCAGCCCCAAGCCCCTCAGCTCAGCACACGGACCCCCAGCCCATCCAAGCCCCCCTGCTCCATGTGGGGGTCCCAGCCTCAAGCTCCTCAGCCCAACACAGGGACCCCCCCCCCAGCCGAGCCCCCCAGCCCCACACAGGGGCTCCCAGTCCAGCCAAGCCCCCCAGCCCCATGTGGGGGTCCCAGCCCCTCGTCCCCAGCTCAGGACACGGGGGGCGAGGGCCGCCAGAAGCACCACTTGCTGCGGGGGTGCTGCTTGCGCTGGAGCTGCTCCTCGCGCTCCCGCTCCTTCTTGGAGCGCAGGTACAGATCCTCCTCCTTCAGGTACCACACCGGGGGCCAGCGGTGCCGCTCGAAGTGTGCCTGGTTCTCTGGGGGGGCAGCCTGGGGGTCAGGGCACGGCAGGGACACCCCCTGAGTCCCCCCGCGCCCTCCCGGCCCCTGTACCTGGGGACATGAACTTCATCTCGCGGGGGAAGCGGCGGCACACGCGGTTGTAGTTGGTGCAGATGTAGTGCAGGCACCACGCGGCCAGCTGGTGGGCGTTGTGGAACTGGGGGGGCAGGGGGAGTCACCCCACTGCCCGCACTCCCCAGGGGTCCCTGTGTTTCCCCCCCGGGGATCTCTGTGCCCCCCAGCCCCCCGTACCTGCGTCATCTCCAGGTAGATGATGACCTGCTCGTCGATCTCCACGCGCTGCATGAAGGCTCGGAGCAGCTCGTCCACGGCGTATTGCTCTGGGGGGGGTGAGGTCAGGGGGGGCCACTCACTGGGGACGTGCCCCCCGGGGTGAGCCGGGCCCCCCCGGGATTGCGTAAGGGCAGGGAATGACACGCAGGGACGATCGATCCGACCTTGCGGCACCGACAGTGCATTGGCAAGTGACGTCAGGGGACGCTGGCCCGGGGGGCAGGGGGGGGGTCTCACCAGTGAGCGCCTGCAGCCGCGGCAGGCACAGCCGGTCCGTGAGGATGAGCAGCTCCATGGCGTCCAGGTCGGGCGTGGGGGTGAAGACCCCCGTGTAGAGGAAGTCGAGCACAGCGCGGAGGCAGGCGCAGTTGGTGCCGGGCAGGGACACCTGTGGCACCAAGGGACGGGTTTGGCGGGGCTGGAGCCACCCCCGGGGGGGCTGGGGAAAGGAGGGACCCTCCTGGCAGCGCCTGACCTGGCACAGACCCCCGACCCTGCACAACCACCCCACAACCCTGGCACAGAGCCACTGCTCTGGCACAAGCCCCCAGCCCTGATATGATCCCCCTCACCCAGAACATCTTCCCCGGCCCCAGTGTAGCCCCCCTGATCCAGCAGAGCCCCCCAGCCCTGGAACAGTCCCCCTCAGACCCACCACAGAACTCCCTGACCCAGCAGAGCCCCCCACTTTCTCCCCAGCAGAAGGGAAGCAGGACCCAGATGTATCAGGGCTCAGAGGGGTCCAAGCAGCCCCCAGACCCCACTCAAAGGTGCCCACCCTTCCAGCAGCCCCGTGGCAGAGCCTGTGGATCCCACCAGGCCCCCAGCCCCCTCAGCCCCCACCTCTTCGGCGTAGCTCTCGCGGAAGCCCCCCCGGAACATGGCCCTCATCCAGTCACAGCCAGCGATGAGCAGCGGCTTGTGCGCCGGCACCTCCCCGTCATCCACACGGAACACCACGTCTGGGGACACGGCACAGCTCAGGGAGGGACACCACAGACCAGGAACAGCCACCCCTCAGACACCCCTTGCCCACCCCAGCCTGGGGAGAGCCAACCCTTGGCCACCAGAGCCCCCCACTATGGGACAATCGCCCCTTGGTCACCCCTGCCCAGAACTGTCAGCCCCAGACCCCCCGCAGCCCTCCCTCACCATGACTGACTGTCATGAGGGCTCCAGGCCCCCAGGCCCCGGTGGCCTCAGTGGTGGGAGGGGATCAGGGTGACCGGAGCCCCGTGACCAGGCCGGCACCACAGGAGGGGGACACCGGCTGGACAGGATGGAGCTGGGTGACCCCCCCGTCCTCACAGCCCCCCCAGGCCCCCCCTACCCACGAAGACGCCCTTGGCCAGGCACTCCTTGATGCGGTTGGCACGGCGCACGTGGAAGGCCTTGGTGATCTCCTGGTTCATGAAGCTCTCCTGGTTGAGCTCGTTGGCCACCATCATGCGCAGGTCGAACACCTCGAGCAGCTCGGCCACGGCGCCCACCTGGCGCAGGTCGGCGTGGGGCCGCTCCAGCCGCCCGGTGTACAGGTACTCCAGCACGGCGCGCAGCGGCTCCGGCCGCACGGCCCGGTCCATGGCCACCACCGCCATGCGCCGCGCCCGCCCCGCCGCCGGCTCCGCCACCTCCTCCCAGCGCAGGCTCAGGAACCCGCGGCCCCACCCCGACAGGTCGCAGGTGCCGCCGTCCCCCTGGCCGGAGGTGCCGGGCACCCCCTCCAGCGTGAACAGGTCGTAGAAGCGGGAGCAGGCGGTGGCCAGGAACACGCGGTGGGCGAAGACGCGGTGCCCGCCCTGCAGCTGGAACACGACGTCGGCGCAGAGCGGGGCCCGGAACAGCGCGGCCGGGCCCCCCCCCAGCCCGGGGGGCGCCTCGGGCACCTGGATGAGGGGCGGGGGGGGCTTGGGGGGCAGGAAGGGCGCCTGCAGCAGCGGGCGCTGCATCTTGCGCAGGTGGGACTTCCAGAACTGCAGGTGGCGGCGGGACACGAGCGCGGCGCGGATGGCGTTGTCAAACACGTCCTTCACCCCGAACTGCGCCACCACGCTGGTCTCGTAGTACGGCACCCCCAGCTCCTGCGCCACCTCGTGCCCCCGCTCTGGCGGCAGGATGTCCGAGGGCTTGATGGGCCTGTGGGGCATGGACAGGGAGGGGGCTGGGGAGGCTGGGGAGGGGGTCCCTGGGCATCGCGGGGGGGCATTGGGGGCCCCTGGGGAACACCCCAACCCAGGAGTGCTGGGGGGGCGGGGGCTCTCCCCCACAGGTGCTGTCAGGGGCCCCCACCCAGGGGAGCTGGGGGGGACGCAGGCGTGGGCAGGGACGCACCCTGACCTCGTAGTGGCAAAACTGGGGTTCCGCTGGGAAGCAGAGGGAGGGGTCCCCATTCCCATGGGATAGGCTGGGGTCGCCAGGGTGGCACACCGGGGGGTCCCTGTCCCTGTGGGGCTGGGGGGGTCCCAGCACTGGCACCCTGGGGGTGTCCAGGGTGGGTGGCTCGGGGGCTCACTTGGCCAGCGGCCGGCGGGCGCGGTTGACGGCGTCCAGGTCTGCGTAGCGCAGGTCCAGCTGGCAGCCCACCAGCACGATGGGCGTGCGGGGGCAGAAGTGCTTGATCTCGGGGTACCACATGGTCTTCACGTGCCGCAGCGAGTTGGGGTTGGCCAGCGAGAAGCAGAGCACCACCACGTCCGACCTGGGGGCACGAGCAGGACGGGGAGGGTAGCGCTGCCCCAGTGACACCCCAGTGTCACCCCATAGCCATAAACGCTGTCACCCTGCGGCTGCAAACACCCCCTGCTCGGGGGGCACCATCCTGGGACACCTGTCACAGCCCCCAGCCTGGGGCCCCCAGGAGCCCCACAGCCTTCAGGAGTCCTATGACCCCCTGAGAGCCCCCCACTGTCGACATGACCCCCCCCCCCAAGGCACCCCCAGCCATGGGAGCCCCATAGACCCCCGAGAGTCCCATGGCCAGGGAAGCCCCACGTTCCCCTGGGGGTCCTAGGACACCCTGGGAGCCCCACAATGCCCAGAGGCCCCACGACCATGGGAACTCCACAGCCCCCAGGGCCCCATGGGAGGGGCAGTGAGGCCAAGGAAGGACCCAACGGGACCTGGCTCCAGGTCACCCCACTGGCCAAGCCATGGGCTGCCCTGGCTTGGGTCAGCACCGGGGAGGCCACTCGCGGGGGGGTCGCAGGGGGGATGGCCAGGTGGGGGCCAGCCCCCAGCACCAGTGACAGACCCTGCCCACTGTCCCCAGCCCCATCCCTGTGCCCATCATGGGGCTGTCACAGTCCTCCTGGCCCCAGCTCGGGGGGTGCAAGGTGCCAGGGCGCATGGGGGGTTGCCAGGGGACACGGGGGGTTGCCAGGGGACGCAGGGCAGGTGCCAGAGAACACGGGGCGGGTGCCAGCACCCCCAAGTCCCCGCAGCAGCCGCGTGGCCCCGGGCCCGGGTTGTTTTTAGTCCGTGCTCGGCCGGGACGTGACCGGGAGGTGCCGCTGGAGCCGGGCCCGTGTCCCGGACCAAGATAGCCGTCACCGGCCCCTCCGGCCCCCCCGGCCCCGGGCCCCCGCCGTGCCGCGGGTTGATTAGCGGTGCCGCGGGGCTGGCGTGGGGCGGCGGCGATAAGAGCCTGGACGTGCCGGCGGCCACGGGGACCGGCTGTTTACAGCCCAGGGAACCGGGGGGAGGGAGCGGGGGGGCCCGTCCTGCGGCCAGGCCGGCGCCCCCAGGGAAGGGTCCCGCACTCCAACAGTCCCACAGAGCCACCCCCCACCCTCAGCGCCGGGGGGGCCGCGAGCACCCGGGATCCCTGCTCGGAACGGGAGCTTGGGAGGTGCAGTCCTGGGGTCAGAGTATCCCCAAAACCATCCCCGACCGGGGGTGGGGCAGTCCCATCCCCCCCTCGGAGGGTTTGGGTTCCGGAGCTGCTCTCTGGGCGGTGGCAGGAGCCCAAGGGGCTTCTTTGGCTCTGTGTGCCCTGGGTGGGCAGGGCTGGGGGTCGGGGTGCCGCTGGGGGGGCTCGGGGTGCCGGTGGCGGGTCGGGGTCCCACCTGCCGTAGGCGAAGCGCCGGTCTTTGTGATGGTCCCCGAAGGTGTCCCAGAGGCGCAGGGAGACGCTGACCTCGTCCACCACATCGCGGGAGCGCTCCAGCACCTGCCGGCACCGGGACCGGCACCGGGATCGGCACCGGGAACGGCACCATCACCGACCGTCCTGCCCAGAACCCCCAGTAGCACCCCGCTATACCCCCGGTATCCCCTCCCGGTTCCCCCTCCGGTGTCCCTCCCGGTGCCCGGTGGCCCCTGGTGCCCCCCGCCCGCCCCGGTGCCCCTCAGTGCCCGGCGTCCTCCGGTAACCCCCCTCCCGCTGTCGCCCTGCCGGTGCCCGGCGGTGCGCGGTGCCGGCACCCCGCGGTGTCCGGCGGTGCCCGGCGGTGCCCCCCGCCCTCACCTCCTGGCAGACGCGGTACTGGTCGATGGCCCACACGGTGGGCACGTGCGTGGCCAGCAGCCGGTACTGGCTCAGCGTGGCGTTGCAGGCGCGGGCGCAGATCAGCCGCGTCTTGCCCACCGCGTTGTCTCCCACCACGACGCACTTGATGGTCTCGACGTTGGGGCGCTCGTAGTCCACGTCGGGGTCCATGGGGGCGCGGGGGTCCCCGCTCGGCGCCCCCGGCGCGGCCCCGACCCGGGCCCGGCCCGTTACCGACCCCCGCCCCGCCCGCCCCGCCCCCCCCCGCCGCCCGCCCAATCAGTGCTCGCGGCCAGGGCACGCCCCGCCCCGCCCCGCCCCGCCCCGCCAATCCCGCGCGGCACTACCCGCCCGGCCACGCCCCCCGCCGCCCCGCCCCGCGCGCGGACAAAGGAGCGCCGCCAGGGGGCGCCGCGCGCCACGTGACTGCACCGCCCCGATCGCGCCCATCGGCGATGGCCACGCCCACGGATGGGCGTGGTCACTGACACGCCCCTTTCGCATCCCACGCCCACCGGGGGATCGCGGGGGGGGGCGCGGGGGACCAGGACCGGCGACAGCGATGACACCAGTGACACCAGTGGCAACAGCGACACCAACGACACCAGTGACACCAGTGGCAACAGCGACACCGGTGGCAACGGTGGCACCAGCGACACCAGTTGCACCAGTGACACCAGTTGCACCAGTGACACCAGTGGCACAAGTAACACCAGTTCCATCGGTGATACCGGTGGAACCAGTGGCACCAGTGACAAATAACACCACTTACACCAGTGACACCAGTGACACCAGTGACACCAGTGACAAATGGCACCAGTGACACTAGCGGCATCTGCGATACCGGTGGCACCAGCAACACCAGTAACATCAGTGACACCAGTTACACCAGTGTCAGCAGTAACGCCACTGAGACCAGCAGCCCCAGTAACACCAGTAACACAAGTAATGCCAGTAACACCAATCGCACCAGTAAGGGCACTAGGACAGGCGGTGTCAGGATGGGCCAGGCACTGGGCTGGGGGCGTCCCTGGGGCCAAGATCCCATTTCCCGGCATTTTTTCCCTCCCTGGGGGTTTGGGATTTTCCAGTCGCAGTGCCCAAATAAGGGAACGGCGGGAGAGGCTCCGGGACAGGGAGGGCGGACGGGGCGGGCCAGACACTGAGCTGGGGGTGTCCCCATGTTCACAGTCGGGGGGGGGGGGCCCAGGGGCACCCTCAGCACCCCAAAATACCCTTTTCTGGCATAATAAAGAAACTGTGGGAGGGGCTTCAGGAACAGGGGAATGGACAGGGAGTAAATGGGTCAGGATGAGGATGGGAACCCCTGCCTTGGCCTGGTGCGGGATCCTGGCACAGCACCCTCATCCCAGTGTGGGACTCTGGGACATGGACCAACATCCCAGTCTGGGACTGTGCGCAGCACCCACATCCCAGTCCAGAATCCTGGCCCAGCATCCACATTCCAGTGTGGGACCGTCATCCCAGCATAGGATCCTGGCACAGCACCCTTATCCTAGTCTGGGACCCTGGTCCTCATGTGGGACCCTGGCACCACACCCACATTCCAAAGCTGGACCGGGCACAGCACCCACATCCCTGTCTGGGATCCTGGGACCTGCACCCATATCCCAAAGCAGGAATCTGGCACAACACCCTCATCCCAGTACGGGACCCTCATCCCAGTGCAGGAGCCACATCCCACTACAGGGTCATCATCCCAGTACAGGACTCTGTCCCAGCGCTGGACTTCATCCCAGTTCGGGGACCAGTCCCAGCACCCGCGTCCCAGCGCTCCCAGAGCTCCCAGCGCCGCCTGTCCCGTCCCATCCCGGTGCCTCCTGGCCGCTCCCGCCCCCGCCCCGCCCGGTGCCGCCCGTGGGCGGCGGAAGGTGCCGGGGGGGCGGCGGGGGAGGGAGGGGCGGGCGCAGGGCGGCGGCGGCGCCGGCCCCGGTTTCGGGATCGGCCCCGGGCGCGGGATGGCGGGGCCGGGGCTGGAGCGGTACCGGCTGGCGCTGCTGGCGGCGCGGGAGGACGTGGGGAACCCCCGCGTTGCCACCGACTGGTGAGACTGGGGGTGGGGAGGACCGGGAATGGGGACTGGGGCCGGGAATGGGGAATCGGCACCGGGAATGGGGACGGAAGACGGGGCCGGGACCAGGAATTGGCAATAGGCACCTGGACCGGGAACCGGGAGCAGGAAAGGGCACCGACAGGGGTCGGGGCGGCGGGGGCGGTCGGAGAGGCACCGTTACCGGCACCGGGACGGAGGTCCGGGGAGCACCGGGGTCCCGCCCGAGGAGCACAGGCCCGACGGGGAGGTTCTGGACCTGAGCCCCCTCACGCTGCCGTGCTGGAAACCGGGACACACGCCCGGTCCCGTCCCGTCCCGTCCCGTCCCGCCCGGTCCCTCCCGGTGCCGCCGGGCTGGGAGCGGCGCCGCCACCTGGGGAGGGGGCAGGGCGGGCACGAGGGAGGCTGCGGGGCCGGAGTGGCACCCCGGGGTCCCGGAGAGGGGGCCCTGCCCGGCTGCACCGGGCAAAAGTGGGTCCTGGGACCGTCCCGCACCAGTGGTCCCGGGACGGCCCCGCCCCGGTGCCGGTGCTGAGGGGCTGGAGCCGGTGTCCCCCAAAGCCCCCGTCCCGGGGGGAGTGTGATGGCCCTGAGACTGTGCCGGCCCCGCAGCCCCCCGGCGTCACGGGGCCGCCCGTCACCGTGGCCACTGGCCGCCCGGGCACTGCCCTCTGCCCCGGGAGCGCGGCTGGACCCGCTCCAGCGCCGGCTCCTCCCGGCGCCCGCCCGCCCGCGTGCCGGGCCCTGTCCCGCCATGTGACGCCACAGCCTGTCGCGACATGCCGTGACACGCGTGACATGCCGTGCCGCGCTCCACGCGTGCTCCCGGGGCCGTGCCGAGCCGTGTCCCGCGTGTGCCCGAAACCGGAGCCAGGCGGAGACAAAGGCGGGCAGAGCCTTGGGAGTGCCGGGGGATGAGGGTCCCTCCGCGATGGGGCCCCCGGAGCCCCCCCAGCGCCGAGAGGGGGGTCCCGGACCGCCGAGGGTGGGAGGGTGGTTGAGGGGGCCGTGCCGCTCCGGCGCTTCCCACATTCCCATTGTCCCGGGGGCGGATGCTGCCGGCGGCACTTCCATGAATTCATCCTGGGCTGGAGGCATGGGGGAACACGGTGGGTGCCCCAGGCTGGCAGGTCTCCCTTGTGGGACCCCCACCCTGACCCCCCACCTTGACCTCGCCCCCCCAGGGCCGTCTTCGGCTATGAGAAGCACCACGACCTCAAGCTCCTGGATTCCGGAGGTACCGGGAGCGATGCTTGTGGGGAGATACTGGGGGTCCCTTATGTCCCCATGTCCCCCCTGACACGCCCTCCTTGCAGCTGGGGGGCCGGATGAGCTCGCTGGAAAATTCTCCGCCAGCAGCGTCATGTACGGGCTGTGCCGGGTCCCCGACCCCGGCTCCGGCACCCCCCGGATCGTCCTCATCAGCTGGGTGAGTGTGCGGGAGGAGGCTTGGGGGCACCCCTGATGGGACCCCCAGTGCTGAGTGGTGGGTGCGTTGCCAGGTGGGGGAGAAGGTGCCGGAATCGCATCGAGCGGAGCGTGCTGGGCACCTGCCGGCCATCCGGAGCTTCTTCAGGGTGAGTGGGGGACGCGGAGCCCCCGGGAGACTCCGGGGGTGCTGTGGGGGTCTCCATCCCCCCCTGTCCCCCATTCCTTCCCCCGCTAACCCCCCCCATCTCGCCGCCCCGACCTTTGCCTGTGCCCGGGCGCATTCCTGGCGCTGCTGACTCAGCCGCCGCGTTCCCAGTGCTCCCAGTCTTGGCCACGGCGCCGGAGCTGTGGTTGGGATCCCTGCCCCCTCGCCAATCCGTCCTGAAGGGGAGGGTCCTGCCCTCCCCATCCTCCCAGCCCAGCTTCCGGAGATCCGCCTGGGTCTGGGATCTGGATCCAGTCCCACATCTGGGTCCGGCCTCACATCTGGATCCAGCCCCACATCCGACACATCCAAGGGAATGGCGCCTGGATTCCCCGGGAGGCTGCGGATCCCCGCGGGGGGTGGGGGTTCAGGGGGGTCTGTGGGTGTCGGGGGGGTGACGCAGTCCCGTCCCGGTGGCAGGAGGCCACGGCCCTGGTCAGCGCCCGCCGCCCCGAGGACGTGACGCTGGAGGGGCTGCGCCGGGCACTGGCACAGCTGGAGCCCCCCGCCCCCCGCGCCCCCAGGAGAGGAACCCTCCCGGACATCCCGGAGCTGGTGGTGAGTGGGGGTCTCCGGGGGAGAGATGGGAGGGCGCCCGGTGGGCGATGGGAACTCACCCGCCCTTCCTGGGGGGTCCCTGGGCAGGCCGTGCCGGGGGGTGTTGAGGGGTGCCGGGGGTCCCACCTTGACCCCCCCTGTGCTCTCCAGGGAACCAACTACCGCAAGACCAACCCGGCGCTGGAGATCCAGCGCACCCAGCGCCATTCCTTCTGGGAACAGGCCGAGGTGGGGGCCGCGGGCTGCTGGGGAGGGGCTGGGGGATCCCCACGGTGTCCCGGGGATGGAGTCACGGCTGACACCTCAGGTCAGGGGGCTGAGCCCAGGGGTCCCAGTGCCGAGCTTGGTGGGGGTCTCAGTCCCAGTGTAGTGGGTGTAGTGGGGCCCAGCTGGGGGGGTCCCAGTGCCCAGTGTGGGGGGGTTCCCAGTCCTGGTGCCGAGGATGGGGGGTCCCGATCCCAGTGGCAGTTCCTGTGCCGTTGCCCGTGGCGGTCGGTGGGGTCCCGGTGCCGGTCCCGGTGCCGCGCTCACGGGGTTCCCGGTGCCGCTGGGTGTCCCGGTGCCGATCCCGCTGTGTTCCCAGCGGGAGGAGCAGCAGCGGAAGGAGGAGGAGCGGCGGCGGGAGCGGGAGCAGCGGCGGCGCTGGGAGAGAGAGCGCTTGGAGGAGGAGCGGCGCGGGGCCGCGGAGCGGGAGCGGTGGCTGCAGGAGCGGGAGCGGCTCATCGAGGAGCGGCGGTGAGGGACAGCGTGGGGCCCCAGCCGTGTCCCACCCCCGTGTCCCATCCACCACACCCACGTCCCCGTGCCCCCCTCCCATCCCCGTGTCCCATCCTCGTGTCCCAAGCATGGAGCCCCCAGCCGGCCCCCCTGACCCCCCTCCCGGCCCCACAGGCAGGAGCAGGCGCGGCTGGACGCGGAGGAGCGGAAGAAGGAGCAGGAGCGATGGGTGAGAGGGGAGGGGGCCGGGAGGGGGAGTCCTGGGGGAATCCGGAGGGATTGTCCTGGGAGATCCAGGGCCTTCATCCCAGCAGCACCCAGGGTGTCCATCCCAGGGGATCTGGGAAGATATGTGGGGTCCATCTCAAGGGATTTCGGGGGGTCAATCCTGCGGGATCAAGTGGGTCCATCCTGGAGGGAGAGAGAGTCCATCCTAAGGGGGTCTGGGACACCCATTCTGAAGAGATCCAGGGGTCCCATCGCTGGGGGCTCCAGGCATCCATTCTGGGGGATCTGAGGGGGTTCACCCCAGGGGATCTGGGGCATCCATCCTGCGGGATCCATCGGGTTAATCCCAGGGAATACAAGGAGTCTATTTCAGGGGCATCTTGGGGGGATCTATCCTGGAGGGATGTGAGGGCTCCATCCCAGCAGGACCCAGGGAGTCCCTGTCAGGGGATCCAGGGCTCCATCCCGGGGGATCCGTGGTTCCCATCGTCCCGGTGTCTCGCAGGAGCAGCAGCAGCGGGAGCACGAGGCGGCCGAGCGGGAGCGCAGGGCGAGCAGAGGGGGCAGCGGCACGGCGGCCGTGAGTGCTGGGACGGGTCCCACCCTGCTCCTGGGTCACAGGGACACTCAGTGCCCTGTCCCTGTGCCCTGTCCCCGCTGACCCCCGATCCCGCAGGAAGCCGCCATCCTCGTCTCACAGCGCACCCAGAACCCCCGGGAATTCTTCCGGCAGCGGGAGCGCTCGGGGTCCACGTCTGGCCCCGCCCTGCCCGGTGGCCCCCCCGGTAGGTGCCCCCATGGCGGGGTTGGGGGTTGCGGGGGGTGCCGAGGGTCCCTGCTGACCCCCCTCCCCGCAGGTGCCCGCCGGCCCTTCCTGCGGTACCAGCGCAGCCTGACGGAATCCGCCTTCATCTTCCGCCGGCCGGAGCCCCCCTCGACCCCCCCGCCCGGCATCTCCCGCGGGGCACCGCCCCCCAGCCCGGGCCGACCCCCACCGCCCCTGCCCCCCAGCCCCGCGGGAATAGGGACCTCCCAGTGTGCCACCTTGGGGACCCCCACCAGCCCAGCCCGAGCAGGGTCCCTCCATGCCACCAGTCCTCTGGGGACAGGGACCCCTCAATGTGCTACCACAGGGACCCCCATCAGCCCAGTGGGGAGTGGAACCCCTCCCTCTGCCACTCTGGAGACGCCCCCGAGCCCAGCCCGAGCAGAGTCGCCCCATGCCATCAGTCCTGTGGGGACAGGGACCCCCCAATGTGCCATCACCGGGACCCCTCCCAGCCCTGCGGGGACAGGGACTCCTCCCTCTGTCACCCCAAGGAGCCCTCCCAGCTCTGTGGTGATGGAGACCCCCAAATGTGCCACCACTGGGACCCCTCCCAGCCCCATGGGAACAGGGACTCCTCACTCCATCACCCTGGGGACCCCCCATTCTGTCACCACCAGGCCAAGATCCCCACCCGTCATGTCTGGGCCCCCCTTCAGCCCCCCCAGGATGGAGGTG